GCCCATATGATATGTGTGGGTTCCAAATGCTTGATGCTAGCCTTCAGGCTGACGCCTTGAGAGCCCTAGACCAAGTTCAATGGACCACACTTTCAGATAGCATGCTCTGTGTCACCACCATGTTCCAGGCACTTTCCATTCTCGATAACCTACTGTAAACTGGGGTTGACAGAAGCAATGAGGTCCCTGGGCTGGAAGACAGTGTTGGATTCGAGTATCGATGACCCCCGGTACATCCGTCCAGTTGACTATCCAGAAGAACCGCACCTCGGCTTTTGCCACACTTCAGGATTTGCAGAATGTGATCGTCGCTCGCTTGTTTGTAGCATACCTGATGCATCATCTTCACCAGAACCAAGGAGATTTCATGGTTAGGGTCAAACTATGGGATAGCTTTGTGTGGTCCGGACCAGTTCATTTCACCACCAACATCGGACTTTTCTGTGAGGCATGGTCTTCTGCAAGCCAGCACATGGGTAAACACAGCGGCATTCGCATACTAGCCAAAGGCGACAGGCTCAATCCAGATCTCAGCTTCGAAGAATATAGGGAGTTGTTTGGTGACCACCCACAGAGTGTCAATCTTCACGTGGTGCTCGAACTACACGGCGGAGGCTCCAAGGCGGAGGCTGCCATCAAGACCAAAGAGGACTTCGTTGCTAGGGCCCTGCAAGTAGGATTTGACCCTTTAGAAACCAAGCAGTTTGCTCACCAGCTCTACCAAGAGGCCGGCGCGGCCCGCATGCGAAGTTTGCTTACTATCCCCGACGAGGATGCTTTCGTCCAGCAGTGTGGCCTCGTGGCCAAGCAGCTTCGGATAAGTCTCCCACAGATACATGACCTTGAAGCATCGAGAACTAAAAGAGTCAAGGCAGCTTTAAACTCCAAATCCGTGGGTCCAGGTCAGATTCCAGCCAATGACATTCGTATTGAGCCAGGTACCTTTTGTCGCCATGATGGCACACCGGTCGACATGTGCATGACACCACACTGTCTGGACCGAGGCGTCCTATTTATCGAACCCGCCGATATCAGTGCCTTTGTCCAAGAGCATGACCAGAAACATGAAGAGATGATGGCAGTCGCCCCAGGGACAAAGTGTCCCATCCAGGACAAGAAATGCCAGCGGTTCAATATCCCGGTTCGCCTGTCTGATAATGAAAAGGTAGTCATTGCCGCGTGTTGCCATCCCATGGGTACCCAAGCAGTCACGGTCCGCCTGTCCAATGGTGATGCTGCAACAGTGACCCAGACTGTTCGTAGTTTGGAGGTCAGAGTGCTCCGCTACCAACTGGGAGGCAATCCTCGAGGCGCCAATTCAAACCACGTTCAAGATGTTGGATATCATCCCTGCTGAGGCCATATCTGGACCACCACAAGGTCGCAGCTGGCGAGCTCTGCGCCAGACTGTCCCACCACATGAGTTTTTGCTTTTATGCCCGGGTTGTCGCTGCAGCGTTAGAGCGGATATTAGGCAGATCAGGACAGAGTGGAGTCTATACGACCCACAAGTCGGAACACTCCAACTTTGCCGATCCGCGTTATTCCATAGTCTGGACGCCCCACGCTTCTGCCAGTGAGGCTTGTGCCCAAGCAGACACGATTGACTTTGCGCTTGGCATCGTTCGCTCGGCTAAGGACAAGCCGTCTTATGGTATTCGAGCACCGGCCAAACACTTCGAAGATTTGTGGCAATTGATCCGACCTGCAGAACCAAAACCAAAGCAAGTAAATGGGGATTACTTGTATCGCATTTCACCAGTTCCTGAGGGTGCCACCCATGAAGATGTCACAAAGTGGATCACACTGGAGAAATTGCAAGCAAGGCCCTTGAGAGCCATCAATTCGAACACATGGATCATTGTAGGTGAAGCCGAACTCCAGCGTTCACACCTGACGTGGCAGCAAAATGCCATCCTGGTCCAGCCGATCGAGAGCCGGTATTGCAAGACCCAATCTACGATTCTTGCTGGCAAAAAGCCCGATAGTAGTGTTCGACGTACCTGGAAGTCAGAACAGAAATCCGATCAGGGCGTGGATCCCCTGACTATCCATGACCCCTGGGCCAAAGCCAGTATGCAATGGAGTGACTGGGACTGGGCGTCGCGGTCATCGGCCCATAGTGCTTGTAGCTCGTCGTCCAGTAAGGCATCCACCAGCACCTCCCAACAGGAAACGCATGCCAAACAACAACGTGAGATAGATCGCGCGCAGTCCAAGATTGAAACCCTTGAAACTGCCATCCACAACCAACGCAAGGACAATTCCAACTTCCGTAAGGAAGTCCAAACGGAATTCCAGCAAGTCCGCAAAGAAGTGACAGATCGAGTGTCCGAGGTTAAGGATGCCTTTCAATCCACGTTGACTGAAGCCCTCACTCAAACCCAGAGCGCACTCCGATCCAGCTTTCGAGAGGACTTTGAGCAATTGAAGGCCTTACTTGCACGGTAGGGCCGCAAGCGGGTCACCTTAATTAATTAGACTCATTAGACATTCTCAATTCATGTTGTGTGAGCCTTGGACTCGCGGTGGTCAAATAGGAGGACGTGGGCTTCCGCCCATTTGTGTTGCTTGGTTTTTTCGTCGCATGACAATCCGAAGAAGCTTGTTGTTCGCAGGTTTGGTGTACAGGGGACGCGAAGTCTTTTCTCACACACTCTACTTACACCCGCTGTGAAAACCATAGCAAGGGGTAATGTAGAAGCGCTTTCAGACTCGCAAGTACGCGCATTCAAACGGGGGGGTTACTAATCAAGAGCCTACATTATTTAACTTTATATTTCCACCTCTTTTCGGGCCACTGACCAGTGTTGGCATTGGATATGTCTACCGCGTCAGAAGTTAACGTTCGACCATCCGTGGGGTCGACCGCCCTTGAGGCACCCCTAGTGGGCCCCCGGGGCCACCGGAACGGCGCGGAAACGGCGCAGTGTCCCTAGAAGCTACTAGAGGCACTCCTAGCATTATTGCGAGTAACAAGAAGCTACGAACGGAACAAAGGGCATCGCTAAGAGTCCGGAGCGATCGGACGCGAACCGAACGTCGTTTTTCGAGATGATTGGGGCACCACCCGAGATGATTGGGACATCCGGGACTTGGGGGGGTTCAGTTACCCTTTTTCAATCTCGCACGCCTCACGTGGGACCAACGCACGTCTCGCACGTCTCACGTCTCGCACGGTCGCGCCGTCCGTGGCTTTCGAGGTGGAGTCTACCACGAGAGCAACTGCACGAGCGAGACCTCATGGTCCTTTGGCTCGATGCGCAAGGGCGTTCGGGCGTTCGGGCGAAGGAAAGCGACGTTCCGTACCACGGTACCGGTCGGTACCGATTTCGGCACCGGTTCCGCGTTGGAACATCACCGGTTCGCTCCATCTTTCCAAGACGACAAGTAGAGAACAAGGGCGAAGACTTTCCAAGGTTCCTTTTCTATTGTCTATGTGAGAAGAACCGGTGCAAATGCAACACACACGCACACATACACCATGCCAACAGTTCGAAGAACACAGCACCCGCTCATCGAGGTGGCAACCCGCGGTGCACAAGGCGCCAACCGTGGCCGACTTCGACCGCGCGGCGTCCGCGGTCGATGAACACGGTGCACGATCCGCTGCGCCATGGTTTGGTGCAAGAGATTCAATGTCTGCTTGTCAGTTTTTTCGGTGACGTTGTGAGGGCTAGTAGGTTGGAGGCCATCACTAGTAGGTTGGAGGGAAGGGATTATTTTCCCCAAAGAAAGAGAAGTGCTCTCCCCGAAGGGCCGAGAAGAAGCATGATTTGTGTTTGTCCACGATTGGCTAAGGGATGGACGATGTTCATGAGAACATGAATTGGACCCCAAATCCCCAGAAACACATCCATCTACTCAATCGCTACTAGTAACAAGGGCATCGCTACGAACGGAG